ACTCTTTCTCTATAAGAGTTTATTCTGAAATTGGGGCAAAATAAAAATGAATTCTAAGGTGAGGGGCTTTTTTTAACAGTTGGATATATTATTAAAATAAATGGGTGACTTTGATACATAGAAGAATAATTCAATCTTTAGCCATTCATTTATTTTTAATAAAATATCCAACAGTTAAAAATAAGCCCACATGGGTAAGGAGCCTTTTTCACCCTTCACCATAGAATTCACCAAAAATAAAACATGTCTTATGGAGTGCATCTATTCAGATATACTTCGAGGTTCTAACTGGTCACAGTTCTGCTGTTTGTAACCATAAGTTTAGAAGTGTATAAAATTATCCTTATTGATATAAAAGAATTATGATCCATATCAATATTTCTATTATATTGAACTAGAAAGCTTGAAGTCATTTTTAATTTTTTTTCCCATGATAAGGAGATTGGTACAACCAATGCACTGCAATTGCTTGTTTTAAGCTTGCTGCTTGACCTTAAAAGTTCATTGCCATTATGACATGGAGTTTTGGGCATCGTTATGATGACGTTCTACATTATGTTAGGATGGTATTCTTGCAAGGATTGAAGAAAGACTTTCAGCTTGGACTTTCCTTCCAAAAGGTAACTAGCTATTGGGTCAGTTTAGTCCAGTATTGTCAGCTCATGCTCTGTGATACACGGTCTAACATATAATTGTCTTGTTTGTTTTAATCTTTTCAACTAGAGAACAGCAAACCTTTGCAGGTCGTGCATTATGGGCCTGAGCAGAATGGTCGGAACTTAGATTATTTTACGAACAAAACCAAATTGGAATTAAGTGGACCTTTAATGGCAACAGTTGTTTTGTATCTCTCAAATGCTACTCAAGGGGGTCAAATTCTCTTCCCTGAATCAGTGGTGAGTTAGGCGATTGAGTTTTTCTTCTTTGTGCTGTTTACTTTTCACTTTATTCTGAATCTGTCTCTACTATTTAATCATGTCTAATATATTCTCAGCCCAGGAGTAGCAGCTGGTCAAATTGTAGTAATAGTAGTAAGATTCTCCAACCAGTAAAAGGGAATGCTGTTCTATTTTTCTCTCTTCACCCAAGTGCTTCTCCTGACCAGAGTAGCTTCCATGCTAGATGCCCTGTTCTTGAGGGGGATATGTGGTCTGCGACTAAATACTTCTATGCAAGACCAATTAACAAAGGCAATGTCTCAGTCATATCAGATGGTGGTGACTGCACTGATGAGGATGACAATTGTCATGCTTGGGCAGCCATTGGAGAATGTCAAAGAAACCCTGTGTTCATGATTGGATCTCCTGATTATTATGGTACGTGTAGGAAAAGTTGTAATGCATGCTGATCAGAAGTTGATTTCACAATTTCAGTTCATATAAATATTCTCCGTTCCAGAATTCCAGTACCCCAATCCCTTTCCTCAGTTTTGTTTTTCCTCCCTATTAATGTAGAGAAAATATATGTGGAATTACCAACTGCTTTCTTAGTGTGTGTTTAGATTATAGTTGAAAATTAAGTTGAGTTGAACTTAATTTTTCAAACCAATTTTCAAAACAAAGCAACAATCGTCTAATTTTTTTTCAACTGAGATTTGTTTATAATTCACACTTAACGGAATGAGAAATTTTTTTGTCAAACATGTAGGTATAGTGTTAACTAAGATTAAAATTTTCAAATGTCAAATCAAACATAATTGTTGAATGAAAAGAAATTGAAGGATCACTTCTCGTCTTATATTATTTGATTATTTCATTTTCATTCTTCTAAAATAAAAGTTTATATAACTAATAATTTTTGTTCTTCAACACTTCTGCGTAAGTTGTTTTTATCTATTTCTAGTCTATTTTTTTTTTACTTTGAACATTATATATCATCTAATGATATATTTGAAGTACTTTTTCATCGTCTCAATTTTTTTACTTTGAACAATATATATCATTTATATGATATATTTGAAGTATTTTTTTCATTGTCTCTTGAATCTTACAATTTAATAAGAAATGATTTACAATTCAAAATTAAGCTTGACAATTCACAATTTAAATCTCAATTTGATAACCTTGGTGAGAATTACAATTGTTGGTGATAAAATTTACGGGCATAGGAGCATTCTCAACAATGATCTCTTCCTGAATCCCCTGGACAAAACAAAACGGTATTTTGGCCAGTTTAAATAAATAAAAATTACAAAATATTTATTTTTAAAACAATTTTGGAATAAATTTTTTTTGCCCGCGTGGACACTGTCATTTTGCACCACTTGTAAATGGTGCCACTGAATAAAACAAAAGAAACAAAGAAGGCATTAAGAGGGTGTGACGCCTTCTGCTATGTTCTTAGATACACTCAGAAGGTGCCAGGAGCTATAAATTATATTATACTGAATAAAATTGTGAAATAATTTTTATTAAATTATTCTCGTCCTTATTTCAATTAAAATGCATGAAAAAGTAAGTTTTTTCGTTTGTAAAAAATTCCATCAGAAAACGAGTTTGCACTGGTATAATATTGTTGATAATTAAAATGGTAATTCGTAAGCAATGGTTACACGCATTTAACCGCAGTTAAAAGGTTACATACTGCCGTAATCCTTCATATATAAAAATAAAAATAAAAATAAAATGAAAGTATTGTAATATTGAAATACTCTAATGGCATAATATTTGATAGTGAAATTATAAGCATAAAAAATAATATTCAATATGAGTCTAAAACTCACTATCTTCTTCTCAAAGAATTATGTATAAGAGAAAATTAGACTAGAGCAAGATTATTCAGAGGAATGGTTATAAGTGAAAATAGTTATAAAAATCAGTTAAGACCAACTGATCGAATAAAAACTTGGATATAATATTTTATAATATTATGTAAATAGATAAATAGTCACTACATTTTTTTAAGTTGCACTTCCTAGACTATTAAGAACGTCATTTTATATATGTGCACATTTTTGTAAATAGTTGATCAAGAATGTCACTACCGATTTCTGGCTAAACCGAATTTCGATGTCCTCTCCAACTTCAAAAATTTTATCAATTTTGGACTAGCCAAGACTTAAACACATGCACGTGAGATTAGATAAAAGTTCTTACACCACTTAATCATTGCTCATTACTTGATACTATACGATTTAAAAACATTTTATAATATGTCTAAATATAAAAATATATTTAATTATATAACAATTCTTGTTGATATGTTATTTGTTTTTAATGTATTTCTTTGTACAAAATAAAATAAAAGTAATTTTAAGTTCAAGTAAATGTAATTATTTAATACTTTAATAATCATTAAATTAACATCTTTTTGTTATTATATAATTAATTTTATATAATATATTTTTAATTTAAAATTATTTGTGATTCACCAAGTTTATAATATAGAGAATTTCTTAGTATGATAACCTTTACAGTATGTGTTTGGGGAGATATTTTAAGATATTAATTCATTTTTTTTGTGATTTTTAAAATACGTTAGAGTAAAAAGTTTTGTTTGTATAGAGAAATTTAAAAAAAATCAAATTCAAATATTTTTAAAATTCTTTAAAATTTTAAAATTTTTATTTTTCTCACAAAAGTAATAATTAAAATTTTTTCATATTTTCTTCTTATCTCACCTATATGTTTTTTTTAATCTTTCATTTCTTATTATCTCTTCTCTTATCTTCCCCCTCTCTTTGTCTTTCTTTTTCCTTCATCCTCCTCTCTTTTATTTCTACTTCACTCTCTTCCCTTCCCTCCCTTCTTTATTTCTCTCTTCTCTCCTCCTCTTTTCTCTATTCTCTTT